GGTCCTGAGCGCGAGACCGGCCCCAGTGCGGGCGTGAGCACAAGCAAGGCCCCAGTGGGGCTGTGTTGTGCAGGAAGAGGCCCCAGGAGAAGGCGGGCGCACAAGACGAGAGGCCCCAGGAGAGGGCGAGCATGAATAACTGACTCAACAATGTCCGGGACATCTGAGAGGCTTGGGGCATGGTATAAGGGGAGGTAGGAGCCACACACAGCCCATAAGGCTGGGTGCAACAGAGATCGAGCTATACAGAGCAGGGACCAGGATAAACAAGCACACCATGTCCAAGGGGACAAAAGGGCAGCCTCCCTTATAATATATTAGATCGGCAAAGACGTGGTGGGCGAGATAACAGAAGGTGCTTAATAGGCAACTTGGCATGGTAGGGGGCACCAGGAGAGATCACGGCTGCTCCTGGGTCCCCGCCCTGTGACATTCAGAACCCTGATTTGAATGTGTGTAGAGTATGGTACTAATGTGTAGTTAGTCTATGTGTATTAGCTGAAATATATACCATTCATTAAACACAAGAAAAATATATTTTTAAAAAAATCATGCCTGATATCCATTGAAAACTTCATCTCCATTAACAATTATTTTTGAAAATTCCCTATATAAACCTGATACATATTTCAAAATATCATTTATACTGCCTTAAGAAGTAATGATACACAGACCTCCTCAACATGTACAAGTAAAGGTGCAATTTAATCTAATGCATTATAGACACAATTGTACCTCCTGCCATGCCACATATGCATGGCGGGAGATGCAACTGTGGGATCGCACATTAGATTCAATCCTGCCTTATTGTCCGTGTAGGGGGAACCCAATCCTGAGCTCCCTCTGTACTGGCAAGAAGCAGGCTTCCTCTACTGGGAGCCCCCTTTGCTGAGGGTGCTCCCAGCCATGAGGCCCATGAGCAGCTGGGAAGATCCCAGCAACTGATGGAGCTCTTGGTTTCCACTGCACCTTCCCAAGACTTGGGGATCAGGCAGCGACAATCCCCAGGGCGTGGTTTTCACTCTGGGCATGGTGCACCCCTGTGGCTGGGAGACCCTGCTACAGGTGCAAATTAAAGCTCAACAGCAACCTGCTATAAAGTTAGTACACATTTTCAAGATCTAAATTTATAGCTGGTTGGAACTTTCTATTGTGTGATAGCTGCTTTTCATGTATAGCTGGTCTTAAGGTAATTGTACAATTAACCAGGTAATTGTGTGATACCTGTAATGTATAGGTGGACCGCATATTCCTAAGTAGGCCAACCCTTGACAAAACATTCTCTGAAAAAGCCAGAAAGCCAGCGGTCAAAACTCAGTAAAAGCCAGGATAGTTTAAATCAGTTAAAGCCACAGTGGTAGAAACTGGCCAGCCCTGTTCCAAGAAAGATCTAAAGTGTCCTGTGTCTTCCTGATTTGACTTCATTCTAAAATCACATGGGCTAATCCCATATTTGTCTTGGATCCATGAAATTGCAAGTTAAAGAAGAAGAATTCTCGGTGTGCATATTGACATCCCCCAAACAATACATTTTTATGAACTGATGGCCAGGTTCAAAAGAGGCTCGTTTAGATTGCTTCTTGAGACTCTTAACAAATGCAGCACTCCTGTACACTATAAGAATTCCCAGATGTAGCTAATCCCCAGGGAATACAATCCAATTGGTGCTTACAAATGATCTCATCCATGGCATGGGAAACCTACCGCATAAACATAAGTCAGATGTAAAAAAGCATTGCCATAGAGACACCTGGTGATTTAAGTGATCTCTACCAAATCTTTTTTCTCCTAGAATCTCATGAGTTCAGAGTCTGTTGACCTATATAAGAGGCCTTTCTATTGCTCTCTCTTCAATCTGATTTTGCATTTTTCCAAATTGCATTTCACTTATTATGGCATATGCCAGTTTTATCAAGGTGTTTACAACTTTCTGGACTCTCAATCCTCCATTCTTCCTAATAAAACAAAATAAGATTTTCTCCTGGTGAAGTCGAGGGGAGTTTTATCATTGTCTCAATTGAGACTGCTGTTGTAGAATGCCTAACCCCAGGGTTAGGGACAGACATTACACATAAACCGATTTAAGTGATCAGAAACTGGTTTAAACCTGTTACAGAACATAAGTTCAGTGCACATCAACCAGTTTGAAAATGGCTGAAACTGGTTTAAGATAAACCTGATTGAATGTAGTATCAGACTTAACTGATTTAGGTCAAACCAGTTTATGCAACATCTATCCTGGTTTAAGTTAAATCAGAGTTCCCCAGCATCCCAGATGCTTTACAGCCCTGGATGGGGCACTGCTCTCTGCTCCAGAGAGCAGGACTGGCCCCTCCCCTCTGGTCTCTAGCCGGAGCAGGGGCGGGGCATGGCCAGACACTGGCCTGCCACGGCCCCTGAGGCAAAGGGGTGGGGAGGGGGAATTAATCCCTCCCTCCATCCCTTCTCCTCCAACTGGCAACCCCCAAGGACTAGTTGGGGCTTGCCAGCCCCAGCTGCACCTCCACAGATTGCATGCAACCAGGCAGGGAGTGGGTTAATTCCTCCCCCTGTCCCCTCTCTCCCCTGGACTCCCCAGGGGTTTGGCTGCAGTCTCTGCGGCAGTCAGAATCAGCATGGCAGGAGCTGCTCTGCTACCCCTCCAAGACAGTGATAAGGTACGAGATTACAAACCATTTCCTCCAGGCAATCCCGGCAAACCAGGTGTTCCTCTTATGCCTTTGGGACCTGTAATTCCTGGTGGTCCATATCCCGGGTATCCATGAAGACCTATATCTCCAGAAGGACCTGGACTACCGGATGGTCCTGGTGGCCCTCTGTCACCTTTTGAACTATGCTGTGCCTATTAATAATCAGACAGAAGTTATGGAAGATTAGATCTAATTATGATCTCACACCATTTTAACAAGAGTGACTTCACCCACCTATGTCAAGTTACTCAAGATGTGCACAGTCTTAAGTAAGAACAGAATCAGGCCAATGGCCTTTAATTTTATTATTAAACAACAATAATGATCATCCTCATCACAGACTATTTTCACCCATTCTTTCAATTAAAAGTACAGCAGTGCATTTATTGCACAACAACAGCAGCAACAGTGATGGAGTAACAATAATGTAAATCTACAGGGCTTGGTTTTGATCTTGCATACGCTAGAGGAAATATAGTAATCCCTCTGATGTCAGTTGTGCATTGTTGTAGTGAAAATTCATTTGTAGGTTACAGGTATTAGGGTGTGCTTTATTTTGTGCAACATATTCTTATGTACTCAGCTTTCCATAAATTATATAGTTATTGAATATAATAAATAAATACCTCTTCGCCTTTAGAACCTTTTGAGCCTTTTCTACCAGGTCTGCCATGAAATCCATCTGCACCTTTCTTCCCTGGATATCCTCTCAATCCAGGATTACCTTGATTGCCTTGCTGCCCTTCTGGATGAATGTGTCCTGGTTCACCTTTTGGTCCTTTAGTCCCTTGATCTCCTGGAAGACCTGGATACCCCTGTACAAAGCAGTTAAGAGTTTCTGTGTTAGATTCATGCCCAGTAGGCTTTTAAACTTCTTCACTAAAAAGCTAACCATTAATTATTTCTGTTTTCTTTTAAAGTAACTCTTCAGGGGTTCATATTATTGAATTTATTATTAAATGATAAATTATCGTCTCAGTGATTACACTAATCAGTAAACAACCAGTTTTTTCTTTATTTCGTCTTATTGTGAAACGGATTCTCATCTCACTCACACTATATCCTCATGAATAAACTAAATGAAGATAAAGAAACAGATTCTGTCCCTGCTTCATCCTTTGCAATGCTTTGATGGCATGAAGAGGGTGACAGGACAGACAGCTGGCAGGAATTTCCTCTTCCATGTGGGAATCCCTGCAAGGCTAACACTGATACCACTGGCTCTATGCCATTCACTACTGGTCCCTACTGCAGGAGATGTTCTGGAGTCAAAGCACAGTGATCCTGGTGAACTGATTCTTGTGTGGTTCAGGAATTGCCCAGTATGCTCTGAATATTGTCACTACTATGCTTCTAATATCATCACTGTACAACATAATAACAGCAGGGAGCTACTAACTGCAGACATGAGCTAAACCAACTGTGAGGTAAATCCCTCAAAAGATCTCCCTCCCAGGCAAGGGAGTCATTCCACTATGAAAGGGAATCCTTTAAAGGGATAGGACAAAGCTGAGCTCCCTGCACTCTATCTGAGATTTGGTGATATGCCATGCCATCTTGAGGGCATAGCCTAGAGTGTTCCAGAGAATTGATTAATATTACAGAGAAAATCAGTGGCAGAAGCAAGGTTAGGACATAGGACATTCTTGTTCTTAGGTACATATGTACTGCAGCCACTGCTGTGTAGTTTGAAACCTTTAGCTTTAAATTATTTAGGGAGGTTACTGGTCATGGCATAGCTGGGGCAGAACAGGGTTCAGTGTTGGCTGACCACCAGATTATTTAAGTAGCTTATTGGGTATGTATAAGCTTTGTGCTCCTGAATTCTTATCTTACTAAAATTCAGTAAAACACCTGGAGGAGGCATTTAATCTGAACCTTACTTGAAGACCTGGAGGCCCCTGTGTCCCTGGAGAACCTTGAGAACCTTTGGGGCCTGGTAGTCCTTCTCCACCTGTGATAGGAACATCATAATTTGTTAAAAATGAAAGTAAGAAAGTCAGATTTGACAACCTCTAGCCACAGCATACAACACAGAATTACCACCTAAAATATACATCTGTGAACTGCCTTAGAAAATAACTGGGGGTAAAAGGCTCACTGATGGGTGCATAAAGACATTTCTCCTTTATTTTTTATTTTAACATTTCTTCTTCCACATTATTAAATTCCTAGACAAATTATAGTACATTCTTTCTAGTAAAAACTTTTTAGCAAAACATTATTCCTCCTAAAGAAGCAGTAGATCTACTGAAAACGTTATTTACTTTCATATGCCCTCGTGCTCTATTAATTTTCATGTATTTCCAAAAGTCCTTCGAGATAGCAGCAATCTCTTCGAAGGTTGGTTTCTTCTTAATGGTCCACTGGAGATGGTGCAAGGAAGGGCAAGTTCACCCCTTGTGAAATGAAGGCAGCTGAGGTTTTCCTCTTGACTCAGCATGTTTTTCTAAGATTGAAGACTCCACATTCCACCATTAAATCTGAGCGATGTACAAACCTGGCCCCAAACCCAACCTCCCAGTTTACACCATGTGAAATGTTGATTTTAAATATGTAAAGTACCCCTTTACAATCAATTAATTGTTATCAGATTTATATTGCTATAGGCAGTCCATAAACACTGGCCTTCTCCAATGACACTGTAGCACCAAAATATTTTACCTCTAGTTCCTGGTGCACCATCTGGTCCTGGGGCACCAGAAGGTCCTGAAGGTCCAGGAATATAGGTGCAGTCAGTACATGCACATATATCTTCACCTAAAATGAAGTTATATCTCTATTAGTTGGTACACAAGTAAAGTACCTTCTGATAGTACTTGGCATCAGTCCTGCTCAATGCTTACTAAAGGATGGATGGCTAAACAAAACAGCCTAACATATCTGCTAGCAAAGCAGGTATAAAAAAGCTGGGAACTGATTCTTCTTTTCTACTCTGTATAGGAAACCTACCACAAAGCATGATTTCAGATCCTTTTTGATAAACTTGGTTTTACCTTTTGGCAGGTAAAGGAGTCAGAGCTCACAGCACGTCATTTAAAAGACAGGGCCACCAAGTTTAAACTTTGAATTTTCTTGCATACCCCATACCTGCAAATAAGACACATGCCTTATTTTTCAGAAGGCAGAGTGAAGATTTTTCTAGAGTTATGGATGCATTGAGCTGGGTCAGAACTAATATTTAGCTCAATCACCCTCCTTTTTCTGCTCAGCCAAAAACTGAAACTGTAGCCACTGGTCTTCATAGGCAGAATTACAATTTTGAAAAGTAGTATAAACTCTCTGCAGGACTATGAAACAGGAGAAAAGAGACCAGGAGTAGTTAGCAGACAGCAGAATTGCAGGAAGAAATGTTAGCTTGATTAGTGGAATATGAAGACCATTATAAAGGGAGAGATTGTTGTTAACACTTGTGGAATGAAAAACAATGAGCCATTAAGTCAACTGACTCCTTCAGCTGCCTGTATAGAAATGCCACTGCTGCTACTGGGCAGTTGGTTTTAAACTTTGGGTGGAGTAGGAATCAAAGTGGGGTGCTTCTATTCTGGGCAAAAAAAAAAATCAGATGCACCATGTTAGACAGACTCCATCATTTTGGTGGGATAATTTTTAGGAAAAGGGTTCATATGGTATGCAAGTAGATACAGTAACTTAGATCTCTTCACTGTTTTATTAAGAAACATACACTTAATCTATCTATAGGGCAAATCCTGCAAAGCAGAAGGGACACAAAGGCCTTTACCTCCTAGCCATAATTGTTCTTCAATAGCCCACATAACCACAGAGAATGTCAAGAGCAGTTTGTTAAGTGTGCAGGACTCCAGCAGCCCACTGTGGTGTGATCAGGAGGGATACGTAGAGGGTCTTGGAATGTGGTATTCATTTCTAGTCCTGTCCACCAAATAGCTGCTATGAATGGGGAAGGAATAAAATCTGTGAGTCTATGGTTCTCTTTTCTCTGATTTAATTTAGGTGGAATAGTCTCTAATCCCAGCAGAGTTGTAATCTGTCTCAAATATCTTGAAGGTGGGGGACCATTTGGTACTTTCACTGATACCTAGCTGTCACACATTAGTGAAATCATTGAAAAGTAGGGCTGGAAGGTTCCTCTAGAGGTCTTCTAGTCCAACCCTCTGCCTGAGGCAGGATCATTTACCTATCCAAGCCACCCAATACAATCCATAATGTAAACTCTACATAAGACTACCCTCAACCTTGACACAACTCGGGACATAACACCCTAACTCGCCACAAATAAAGCAGGAGCATCATGGCAGCCAATGTCCTGCTTCTATAAAAATGTGTTAATATAAACTCAAGAGATCCAGGTTAGAGGGCCCCACCTTCCACTATAGAGAAAGATAAAACCCCCCACAGTCTATACCAATCTGACCATGGGGTAAAATTCCTTCCTGACCCCAAGTATGGAGATCAGCCTGACACTGATTGAAGGGGCAAGATCCTTTAGCTAGGAACCTCTGATTTTGGTCCTAGCAGAGGCATTGGCACACCCCAGTCAAAATCCCCAGCCTTGGCTACAGCCAACACCTAATGCCTTATAGGGAGATTTAAAAACACCCTCACATGTATCAGAAAAGAGGTTGGGGGCAACCAGCAAAGCCCCAAAGCATGAGAAACATCCATAGTAGAACAGTGAGAAAAGGGAAACCAATGGAGAAGTTCTGCTAACTCAAATTAATCTTGTCACCCCATCAAGTTGATGCACGAGAGGTTCATGAAGCTCCAATCATCATGAGATTCAGTTAACCCTGCCTAATTCCTTTTAATTTGACCCCATCATCTATTTCTGATTAGCAGGGGTCCTGGTTTTCTTCGATTTAAAAAAATCCCTAATTTTCGGATTTAAAAAAGTAAACCCAAATCCACATTTTTCTGTAATTAAAATGAAACACCGCTATATATATATGGTGGCATTTGACTTCGATCATGGAAAAATACGGATTTGGGGTTACTTTTTTAAATCTGAAAATTGGGGATTTTTTTAAAATCAGAGAAAATAAAGATCTCTGGTGATTAGTAGCTTTGAGGGTATAACTAGAAACAGCAAATTTTTTCACTCAGCTGAAATGAACAGTGTCTGCAATAACAACACAGCTTCAGCTATATGAAAACAGAATATGATAGAACAGAATCAGGCCCAAGCAATTTATATGACAAACAGCAGAATGACCATGCTCAGGTCTGAATTCAGTACAAACTAACTCAAGTTGTTCAGCTCCATCTGTGTTTTCCATGACTTATACCAACACTCCTGAATATGGAGCAACTTGTTATTTGTTATCTGTGTCATGAACCAAATTTTGGGGTGTTCATGGGTTGTTATGCAGGTTTTCTTATGTTTTACTAATATGGCATGTGTGGTCTTATTGAAAAGCCAATGTTATGCTGTGTGTGTTTATGCTGCTTTTATCTCTGTATGGATTATGTTATGCAGTCTGTGGGTGCGTTTACACGTGCCATTAATGCTCAGCAATAAACTCCAGAGCTTATTGCTTCAGAGTTTATTGCTCCCAGGAAGCTCTTAGGCACACCGTTTACATGTGTGCCTAGACTGCAGCACACTGAGCCGGGTCAGAGCAGCCCTGGCTTGCAGGGGGCTCAGGGTTCAGCCTGCCAGCTGAGGACTGCTCTGACCAGGTTCAGTGCATTGTGAAGGAGCTGGCTGGGGCATGAGGGTGCCTCAGTGCAGGGCTATCCAGTAGGTAGCCTCAGCACTGAAGCACCCTCATGCTCCAGCCAGCTGGGTCAGCATCTAACATGTATGCTGCTGTGCACAAAAAAGCTCCATAGCAGGACAGTACTTGACTCTGCTGCAGAATTTATAAATTTCCTGTGCCCTAAAAGGGGCACACGTTTAGATGCTGAGATATTTACTGTGGAGCTAATTAGTCAGCTCCACAGTAAAAGTCACATGTAGATGCACCCTGTATATAGCTGTATGATTTTAAACATGGTCTAATCCAGGGTTAGGCAACCCCCAGCAAAAACATGACACATGAAGGCATTGTGCTTGGCATGTCCGCATCAAGGAAGGGGCTGGGGCTGTACTGCCACAACAAGGATTCGGCCACTTGGCTAGGGACAGACATTACACATAAACCAGCTTAAGTGATCAGAAACTGATTTAAACCTGTAACAGAACAGACATTCAGTGCACATCAACCAGTTTCAAAACGGCCAAAACGGGTGAGATAAACCTGGTTGAATGTAGTATCAGACTTAAGTGATTTGGCTTAACTGGTTTATGCAATGGCTGTCCCAGACCCCTTGCTGGTTTAAGATAAACCAGACTCTCACAGCATCTCAGCGTGCTCTGTGGGCTGGGCAGGGCTCTCTGCTCCAGCCACAGGGATGACCTCACCCTTCTGCCCTCTAGGTGAAACAGACCGGCCCTACCTGAGACACCAGCTGGCATGGCCCCGTTAAGAAGAAGTGGGCAGGAAGAGAGTTAATTCTTCCCTCCTTCCCATCTTTCCCCACCACAGCTGGGCAGCAGAGGGGAGGGGGTTGCAGCGGTGGCCCCTGGAGCTGGCAGACACCTAGCTGCAGGGAAGGGACAGAGGGAGGAATTAGCTCTTCTCCCTGCCCCCTTCACCTTAACAGCGCCATGCTGGGTTGGTGGTCCCACAGGGTGGGGAGGGAGATTCTGTGAGGCACTGGATGGGGACTCTTCCTCCTTCTCCCCTTCCCTCCCACTGCTGCAGGGCTGTCGGGGGGGCTCAATGTGATGCTGCCTGGCTCCAGAGTGGGAGTGGGTAGGCAGGGGGAGGCTCTGTTCCATGCTGGGGGTAACTCTTCCACTTCCTCTCCCCCCACAGAGGGGCAATGGGAGTGAAGAGCTCAGCTGGGCAGGGTGTGGGTGAATGCAGTGAGAGGGAGGGTAGGGGGTGTAGGGACCATGACACACTCTCCCCATGGCATGTAGCCCCCCTGCCTGGCAGCAGGCCGGGGGCTCAGGGTGCTTTTGCCGAGCACAGGGGAGGGAGCTGAGTCTGCCTTATCCCTGCACTCTGCTCCCTGAGCCTGAGCCTGCAGCTCCAGCCCTTGCAGTGGGGAAGCCCCACACTGGAGGGAGGGGGGGGATGAGTTCCTCTAGCATGGAATAGAGCCTCCCCCTGCCCTGGAAAGGAAGGAGTGGGAGAAAGAGTCCCCCTCTGGAGCTGGGCAGCATCCCATAGAGCCCCCACTCCCCGCTCCACAGTGATGAGGGAGAAGCAGGGGGAAGAGTCCCCCTCTGGGGCCAGGCAGCCTCACTGCAGGGGGGGAGGAGAAGCGAGAAGAGCCCCCCAGCACCGAACAGGGCCCCCCTCCCAACCCCGCAGCAGTGGGGGAGAGGAAGGAGGGGGAAGAGTTCCTCTCTGGGGCTGGGCAGCCCTGTGTGCTGGGAATCCTGGCTGTCAGGAAGCCACTGGGGCAGGGTTGCAGGGGCCTGGCCATCCCCCCACTCCTCAGCTCAGCTTCCCTGTGGAAGGGAGGGCTGCTCTAGCACCCGCGGGCTTCTGGCATGAGCCACTGCAGGCATGTACTGAACATCTATCCACTTGCAAACCAGCTCACTCTCTGCAGGTTAGATTAACCTGCAGAGACTGAATCAATTCAGGATCAGGATTTTTGAATGTCTGTCCCTTGCCCTTGTGGCCACCCTTGCTGTCTGCACCTGGCATGCCAACATCTTACAAGTCGAGGTTGCAGGTGTTTTTGGCACTCTGCCCAAAAACAATGCTGACCCTTGGTCTAGTCAAAGGAACTGCGGGGTGTATACGTAAAGGAAAGGGAGTAGGTGAAACTGCTAAATACCTCTTGCTATTGCTTTATTAGGGCAAAAACAATTGTCACTGCCAAACACAGGCAGAAGGGGATAGGCACCCAATGTTTTGTCTGCCTTGAATAGGAGATTCAACCCTTCAATAGTGAAGGCATCTCAGAGTAATGGGCCATTACCTAGCCAAATTCTAGTTGCCTGTGACAGGAAAGAAATTTCTAGGGAATTCTGAGACTGATGAACAATCAGGACAATGCTGATGTTGGGGGCTGGGGGCAGGGACTGGCTTGGAGGTATTTAGGGGTTATCTGGTAGACAGTCATGGTCTTTGTATTATCATAGGCTTGGGGAGAGTCCAAGTCTCCAGTAGGAAGGTCTGGCAGGATCAGCAGGAAGGCTGATCGCTGCAAATACTGGCAGGACTCCCATAGGTTAGGTGGTAGCCAGATGAAAAAGTAAGAAATTTGCCTGCTTTGTTTTGTCTTCAAACTTATGGTCAGTTTTGCTTGAATAATTCTTTTCTCCTGTATAATAAATCCTTTTGTTGTTTTCTCTTCTTACCGATTGCCTGTGGTAAGGGGACCTAAAATTCTTTCACAACCCAAGGGGAACTACTTGGAGCTGACAGAGATTCCCCTACTGCAGCTCTGAGGTCTAGTATAAAGGCAGTGCAGCTGAGGCTTATGGGGGATAAGGACAAAGGGCAAACTGTGGTCTGTTCCTTTGGTCAAGTAGAGGGACAGCAGAGCGAAACTCAGGGCTCCATGGGTGCCAAGCAGATGGGTTTGTGACAGTTTGACAGAAGTTTTTAGTACAGTGTTTTTCATCTTGTTGCTCCCAATTGAATCAACCAAATTTTAATCTTAGGAACATTATATTGTACAAACAAACTGTACAGGATATTGTACAGGATAACTGACCTTTCATCCCACGAGGTCCTGGAAGTCCTGGTGGTCCCACATAGCCTGGGTTTCCAGGGATTCCTGGTGGGCCTCTTTCAAACATTACTTCACCTGTTGGTGAAATGAGCACAGCACCCTTACCTCAGCAGCCAATTCAAGCTATTGCTCTTTGGAAATCTCATTCAACAAGATCTTCTAAAGACACTCTAGAAGATGTGCTTTTAAGTCAGGTTGCAATCTCAGCTATACCAGCTAACTCCAGAAATATTGACTTTTCTCTGGATTTTTACCAATGTAACTAAGATCAGGATCTGCCCTACTGTATAAAAAAAAGAATATCACAGTTTTTAGATTGTACCTGGTTGTCCTGGAGGACCTGGCGGTCCTACAGAGCCAGGTGTTCCTGGTAACCCAGAAAGTCCTGGAGGTCCTACAACGTTGATGCCTGGTTGTCCTTGCTCTCCCTTCTTTCCTTTAGGCCCTGGAAATCCATAAGGACCCCTTGGGCCAGGACTTGATATACCTAACAAAAGAAAAAGTGTTTTTAAAAATGCTGAGGATCCCAGATTACTATATTAGAGCAAATAAAAAAAAATAAATAAAAATATGTTCTTTAACCACCAAAAATGTAACACATTAGAACTTCTGCTTCTATCTTTTAAATGCACATAATTTTTTGTCCTTGAGACACATTATTTTCACTCATCAGAAATATTTACTGAAGTTTTTACCACACTTAATTTCACAAAAGTAAAATAAGCCAGATGAATATATTAGGATATTATTATGCAATACATACCTGGTCTGCCTGTCCCACCTGGGTGACCTCTTGGCCCTACAAAAGCAATATGTCCAAAGTCTGAATGAAATATTTCACTTTCACTGTTCAAGTACCCATGGGAGTGTTTTGAAGTACATAGCTGACTGTTTAATGTAGGTGAACGGCAATTTTGATGTAATGTCAAGTACTACATATGGCTTGGGCCTCTGTATGTTAAGCTTATTTTGCCTAAATAAGGAAGATTGCCATTTGCCCAATCCTGCTACTATTGCATACTGTTTCCATTGAAATCCAGTGACATCAGTATATGCACCACAGTTACAGGATCAGACTCTTACACTTGGCCAAGGAATGAACACTCCTGAAAGATACTAAATGCCCTCAATTACCACTGAATTTGGTGGGCAGGCTCATAGGATCAAACTTTTAGTTCCCAACCCCAAATATCTCCAAATATGAACATTAGGGATTTTCTACAGACAGATAACCACTTCTGAATTCAACAGCACCCATCATATACATAAATGGTTGCATGTTTGAGCTTTAGAGAGTAAAGTTAAGGGCTGATGAGCATAAATACGAGACAACCTGCAATATATTGTAGAAGATCCATCTTAGCACATAAATCTTTCATTACATTGTGATACATCCTGAATATCAAACCTAGCACATCTTTTGGCACTTTCCTTTTTAGCAGTGTGTTTTCCTTTTATAGCATTACTAATTAAAATTTACTCTAGGAGACAGGCTGATGTCTTTCGTCAAGTTTGAAAGACAGGCAATAACATGGGATGAGGAAATGAGAAAAATAAAACAAAATTTAGTATAAAATAATTGCCCTTTCAGTGGACTAGTTACAGTTTTGATCTTGTTATTGCTTGCATTGGATACTGAAATCCAAAGGTGTGCGAAGGGTATCAAACTGAGGTTAGGCCAATAGTTTTCAACATGTGGTCCACAGACCCCTGGGGGGTCACAGACTATGCCTAAGTGGTCCACAAAAGAGGATTATGAGCAATCAGAAGTATGTGAATACCCACATTTACAATTTAAAGGGGTCCACACCTCCATTTGAAATTTTTTAGGGGCCCACAAATAAAAAAGGTAGAAAACCACTGGGGTAGGCACTAGTCTCAGTCTTATTGAGATACTCAGCATGGAAGAGAGGCAATTGGTATATTCTCTCCTCTCTCACATGTCTTAGTGTTTGTTGGCAATAATTTGGTGGCAATGCAGCTGCATTCCCACCAAGGCAGGCTCAGGTTTTCATACACACACAGCAGATCCTCCCTGTGTTGTGCAGAATCAAGCCTTTTGCACAGATAACTCATGATGAAGGGATTCTGTTTTCAGAGTGTTCTCACCTGGTGCACCAGGTTGTCCTTTAGATCCTGGGAGACCGCGGGGTCCTTCATCTCCTTTTTCACCAGGCTGTAGATCATAATACTCTGTCTTAAAACAGAGAAAGCAAGAGAAAGAGAGAGAAAATTAACAGTGAAACAACAGCACAGCCTTCATAGCAAGAACCTGACACAAGTCATCTGCCTTCATAGCTACCTGATATCTTCCGTTAATTGTCAAGTCTCCAGTAACACAGAGAGAGTAAGATTGCTACAGTTGTCAGGATGTTTCAGCTCACTTGGAAAAGATAGGGACTGGAGATCCTGACTGATGCTACATAAAATTTCAGCCTTCATAGGCAAGACTGAGACTGTCTGTTGCTTAGGGAATCTATTGGGACTAGGACATTTCTTTTGTGATCAGGGCATTATGAGATCTTGTGTTTGTTCATTATCAATTTCAGACGAATAACTTCATCTCCAGCTGTTCATGAACAACAATCTGTATGTGTAATGGGCTGTGGCCACATGAAAATAGATAGTTTTGTGAATTTCAGCATTACTTGCATTAATATGGCACTATACTTGTGAACAGGAGACATGACCATGAAAATTAAGCAAGTATATTACCATAAGCATGGAGGTTCCCACAAATATTAATACTACAATGCTAACAAATGTATTTAAAACACATGCATGAGCAGAATGTAACTTCTTTTGTAGATTATTTTCCAGGTGAATAAATCAGGTTGAATAACAGCCACCTTAAACCATTTGGTTGTATTTATTTGCATTTATCAGCTGGACATATACAAGTTCATGATGCTGGATGGGATGCATCCAAGGGTGCTGAGAGAGTTGGCTGATGTGATTGGAGAGTGGCTGGCCATCATCTTTGAAAACTCATGGTGATTGGGAAATGTCCTAATTGGAAAAGGGCAAATATAGTGTCCATGTTTAAGAAAGGGAAAAAGGAGAATCCAGAGAACTACAGACCAGTCAGCCTCACCTCAATTCCTGAAAAAGCATGGAGAAGATCCTCAAGGAATCCATTTCTAAGCACTTGGAGGAGAAGAAGGTGATTAGGAACAGTCATCATGGTTCTACCAGGGGCAAATCATGCCCTGACCAACTTCATTGCCTTCTACAATGAGATGACTGGCTCTGTGGATGTGGGGAAACTGCTGGATATGGTGTACCATGATTTTAGCAAGGCTTTTGATACAGTCTCCTACAACATTCTCCCAGGCAAGCTAAGGAAGTATGGGCTGGATGAATGCACTGGAAGGTGAATAGAAAACTGGCTAGAGCATCAGGCTCAGAGGATAGTAGTCAATGGCTCCATGTCTAGTTGGCAGCTGGTATCAAGTGGAGCACCACAGGGGTCAGTCCTGGGGCCGTTTTTGTTCAATATCTTCATCAACAACCTGGAAGATGGCATTGAGTGCACACTCAGCAAGTCTGCATATGACACCAAGCTGTGGGGAGTAGTAGATATGCTGGAGGGTAGGGCTAAGATTCAGAGAGGCCTAGACAAATTGGAGGACTGGACCAAAAGTAATCTTATGAGGTTCAACAAAGACAAGTGCGAAGTCCTGCACTTAGGATGGAACAATCCCACGTACCGGTACAGGCTGGGGGCTGACTGGCTGGGCAGCTGCTCTGCAGAAAAGGACCTGGGGGTTACAGTGGAGAATAAGCTGAATATGAACCAACAGTGTGCTCGTTGCCAAGAAGGCTAACGGCTGCATTGGTACGTGTGTTGCTAGCAGATCAAAGGAAGTGATTATTCCCCTCTATTCAGCACTGGTGAGGCTACATCTGGAGTATTGTGTCTAGTTTTGCCCTCCTCCCACCCCGTCACAGAAAGGATGTGGACAAATTGGAGATAATCCAGTGGAAGGCAACGAAAATGGTGAGGAAGCTGGGGCACATGACTTTTGAGGAGAGGCTGAGGGAACTGGGCTTATTTAGTCCAGAGAAGAGAAGACTGAGAGGCGATTTAATAGTAGCCGTCAACTACCTGAAGGGGAGTTCGAAAGAGGATGGAGCTACACCGTTCTCAGTGGTGGCATATGACAGAAAAAGGAGCAATGGTCTCAAGTTGCAGTAAGGGAAGTTTAGGTTAGATATTAGGAAGAACTTTCTCACTAGGAGGGTAGTAAAACACTGGAACAGGTTACCCTGAAAGGTTGTGGACTCTCCATGGTTGGAGGTTTTTAAGACCCAGCTAGACAAAGCTTTGGCTGGGATGATCTAGTTGAGCGTGGTCCTGCTTTGAGCAGGGGGTTGGACTAGATGACCTCCTGAGGTCCCTTCCAATCCTCATTTTCTATGATTCTATGATTTCTTTTATGTGCAGAGGCCAGGTGCTAGCAGTCATCACCACTGCTCTACAAGTCATATTTATAATGGGTCACAAATAAAGGGAGACCTGACAAAGAATGTCTAGCATTCAAAAGTAATTGTGTAAATAGTGTAAATTTATCCCAACTACATCGTTGGTCCAATAAAAGATATCACCCCACATGATAGAAGTTGGAATTCAAAAAAACTTAAAATTTCTATTGGCCCTTTTAATGGTAGTTATCCTATTCAGTTTAACAGAAGCATGTTTTTGTTGCAAGTCCTAAATGAAAAAAATCATTCAGTGTTTTAAAAGGTTACTTCTTGTAACTTCCTTCTGAGACTGCCCTGAAACTATTGCATAGGACCTCTACAAAAATCAGTAAAAATTACATGTGTAAATGGGCAGAAGTTTGTTTCCATCCAGAACCTTATGGCAAGGTTTTATTAATAAATGAAGTATTATTTTGAAAATTAACCTACGACACTTTATTTTAACTCAGTGCACCCCGATGTCAAGCCCAGCACATGCCCAGAAGAGGTGTCCTGTTAGCTGAACATGGCTCACCCAATATCTGTATAGAACAGGTATTTTAGTGGGGCCTTTTTGGCGCTTTTATCTAATAGCTAATCGAATCAGCTGGAGATAAAAGCACCATAAAGCCCCGCTGAAGCACCCAATCTATACAGATGCTATGGAGCCAGGTCGAATGAAAATGCTGCTTCTTCTGGTAAAGCCCTTTTTTGTAGTTTTTTCCACATCTGTCAGCAGCCTCTGTATCTGCACAAGCCTAATGTTAGTACTTTAACAAATCAACTCCTCAATTCTGGCACCAAGGGATATTCATTACAGTAACTTATATAGTTCGCTCACTCCTATATTTAATAGAAAATAATTACATGATGTTAATCTGAGAATTATTAACACTTACTGGACCACAAAGTCCTGGTGGGCCAATGTTTCCTTTCATCCCCTGCATTAGAGAAAAAACTTGGCTGTTAGTTAAATACATTACAAACAATAAGTTAAAAAATGTTCAAAGTGTGTTGAGGATTTTGCTATCACCAATTAGGAACAATGCAACAAACAAGCAATCCAAGAAATTTTTTTTCAAAAAACAAGGCTATTAGGCAATTACCTTAGGGCCTCTTCCCCCAGGAATTCCTAGTTCACCCTGCTCACCCTTCTCTCCCTGCAGGTGAGAGAAAAAAGCTATCATTAAGGCTAGTCTTTTAAAAATTTCATTCATATCATCCAAATGCAAGTCTTGACCTTTCATGCTGATGGAAAAAAAATGAGCAGGAGAGGCTCAGAGAAGAAAATCTCTCTGAGAATTCCCTTATAGAAAGCTTCTGCTTTCATTCCTTTGGGGCAGCAGTTTTCAAAACTTCAGGCCCTGCTTTTAAACCTGATAGGTCACTGGGCATCTGTCTGCAGGAGGACAGGAACACCTGTAAGGAAGATCCTTGCCTCCTCGCTGGCCAAGGACACAAGCAGTGCTCTAGTTTCTTGGCAGTGTTGCATATATGAAGTAGCTTCATAATGGGCATCTCTGAACATGGTTACCCTCAATTTTTCAGATGGATATTAAAGCATTTAAGACAGCATGGTATGTTTTGTTTTCAGACTGCTGGATAGGATGGGACATAGTACTGGGTGGGACATAATGTGAAACTCTTCCATCTAGGGACTCCTCCCAACACCTGCCTCAATTCCAAGCACAATGGTGGTCTGTACAGAGTTGCATCACCAAAGCCTGTGTGGGACCATGCCGAAGCAGATGGGATCCTTACTTGCATGGAAGTAAGGCAACATGAATGGGGAGCATTCCCTATGTGAACAGGCCTCTTGAGGTGTGATCTGTCCCAATATAAAAAAAACACAGCCAATTTCAAAGTATATTCACAAATAGATTCTCAATGCAACTTGAAAACAGAAAACTCCTAACACAGATATACGATCTTGTCACATTTGTAGAATTACCATCAGTTAAGATTTCTTCAGTACCTGAAAGCCAGGAGGACCTGGGTGACCATCTTTTCCAGGTTTACCCTACAAAAAACATGCACCATTATAAAAAGGTAGTGAATTATACTACGTCAGGGGAAAAAAATGACAAAATTCTGTATTTATGTCAGGACTTACTATCTTAGTGGCACCATGACAGTGATTTATATAATTTTAAAGTGAAACTTTGTAATTAATCATTTACACAAATCTTATAATGCATACAGAACTATAAAATGCAGTGTAAGACATTCCTGATTGAAGAATCAATTCTTACACTCCAGTCCTAAATTGGATTTAGAGACAGGCCAATTTCTAAAAAATGAAGCACAGCAGTCTCAAGTTGACTTAAAATAATTTGGAGGTGCAAAAGTTACAATAGATTCACTCAGTGTTGAATAATATTATTGATTTGATTTTTAAAAAAATACTTAATGTTTTCCAATAACTTTCAAAATGAAACATTATTTGACCTGAGGAATCAGAACATTTTGTTAAAAAATGTCATAACAAAACATTTGGACTTTTTCACTTTTTCTCCTGCAACCTAAACAGTATAGCAAAAATAACAAATTTATTAAATATTTTGGCAACATGGAACTACATTTTTTTTGTAAAAAGAGTTTTGGCTAAAAATGTCAGACCATTCTAATAAAAAATAGTATTTACACTTTTTTTTTCCTAGGAAACAATTTTCCAAATTTGTAGAGAGAAAATTAATTATGCTGTAATCTCTTTATTTTTTACATGTGGTATTTTTAATGCTGGATTCAGGCATCTGCAAGAACTCCTGTTACAGTAAGAACTGTACCTCAAAGGGGCACCTTACCTGATAGATCTGCTACCTGTGTGCATTCAGAATCAAATCTCTTCTCTTAATTGATAAAACTTTAAAGTAACCTAATCCAAGCCCCTTGGGTATTTGCAGGATATGTCTAAAGCATCCCAAGCAAATGATCTGCTAAATGGTCCAGCCTTTTTTTAACTAACATGTGGGACTGTCAAAAGCCTTACTAATGTCCAGGTGTATTAATTTTCACATTCCCTTACTGACCAAAACAAGTTTTTTTGTCAAAAAGAAACTTAAGTCGGCTTGGCTTAATATTGTTTCACTTGTGGCAAATTTCCTACTGAAGCTGCCTAAATGCAAAGTGGGACATCCAACAACAGCACATAAATACTTTCCAGAAAAGAATGGTAGTTTGAAGTTTAATTTTGCACATATACCTGTGGGCCAGGTTCTCCCAAATCACCTTGTTCACTCTGAGAATCTCCAGGGAAACCCTGTAATAAGACCCCCCAACACCCACAAAGATTTTGAAATTCATATTATTTATTACATTTTACAATGATCATGATGAAGCATAATTAGATCTGATGATAAATGCTGATGAATAGTTAGACTAAGTAGTGTAAATCTAGTATTCCGAAGTACTGTTTTTCCATATGATGCTTTATGGAAGTTTTGAATTCTGAGGCCTCTGATGAGGTTAATTTGAATGACCCTGGAATCTGAGCCCAACAATCACACAATTTTTAGTCACTTACTGGTGACCCGACTTGTCCTGGCAGTCCCCTTGATCCTTTCTCTCCTTTCTCTCCTTTTAAGTCCTGTTACAACAAAATTAGATATTTATTTAGTGTTCTAGATTTTTAAGTTCCTCCCAAAAAAACTACAGGTATTTTATAGGTAAGAAACCCCAAAGTTACAAAAAAGACTGTATGACAAAAATTAAAAGCTTAATTTGGATAAGACAAAGGTACTGGTAGCAGCCAGGGCTAATGCATTTATGAATTAGTACCTATGATCGAGAGAGTCAGTCTGTCATTTGTGAATTAGAGACAGACTCTACCCTTATTTCCAGAGATAGTGACTACTTGCAGTAGAATATGAAATGCTCAGTATTTGTAGGTCTGGCCACTAAATATACACTGTAGCTATTGGTTAGAGCCAGAGATGCTTCTGGGGCTAGGGATAGACTTTCAAAAAGCCTGAACCTGAATTGATTCAACCTTTGCAGGTTAGTCTAACTTGGCTCAGCTGAATTAATTTGTAACTGCATGGACATCCTAGAAATGCAAGCACATGCCTGCAGTGGCTCAGGCTCAAAGCTGGGGGGTGCTAGAACAGCCCTTCCTTCCCTTGTACAGTGCTAAGATGATGGGCAGGCATGGCCAGGCCCCAGCAGGACGTTCTGATTAGGGAGGTCTGTCTATATGGTCCCAAGCTTTTCCCTACTCTCTGCTCAAGCGGGGTGGGGGGGGAAATGTTGCCAACTCCCAGCCCCCTGCTAGCACTCTGAAGCAAGAGGGAGGGGGTGTACAGTGCATGCATCTGTTGATGATACGGAGCTTTTCAATCTCCCTCCCTGCTTCTTTATACTGTCTGCAGAAAACTGACAGGCAAGCAAGACAGCAGGGGGCTGATAACCATGTTTATCATTCAATTAGCAAAAAAATAGGGCTGTGCGAAGCTTCAGTCGCTGATTTGATTTGAAGGAGATTCGGTCCAATTTGGCAGCTGAATTTCCAAATACAAATTGAATCAGGAGACCCATTAATCTCTCATAATCAATTCAGAGAGATTCGATGATTCAACCATAGACACAATTTTATATGTTTTGTTTGAGGTACCAGGCATGGCTTGTGAACACTGAAATGGTGGGGTGGATGAAGCATCCCACGGGAGCATGGGAAGGTCCCCTGTATGCTCAGCAGCAGATCTGGAAATGGACCAGTACTTCCACTGTGGAGGGTGCAGGGGAACCCTCCCCACCCTCTGGCTTGGCGACTGGTGCTTCCTGGGTGTGGGGGGGCACCTGGGTTTCCCCCATGACTCATCTCTGAGCTGGGGGGCATGCATGGGGGTCTGCCACTGAGTGTGTGAGGGTGCCCCCCCCACACTCCCATGGGATACTCCATCTGCCCCACCATCTCAGCATTCATGAGCCATGCACGGTACCTTGAGGTATGTAGAAAAAACATATAAAGCTGTTTCTATGTCCAAATCGCTGATTCTCCAAATTGGAATCGAATCTTCAGATTCAGATTTGGCCGAATCGACAGTGATCCAAAACAGCTAATCAAATCACTGTCCCCCTAATCGGGCTGAATCCGAATCGAATACTGGCCGCTTTGCACACCCCTACAAAACAAGCGCCTCTTTTCATTTCTTCAAACTCTTCTTAAACAGCTTACTAGCTGACCTGTTGATTAGCTCCAAACAGCCCTAAGCAGTCACTGTTTTGTCTGCCTGCCCCAGTGAAATTGGAGGCATATACATCTGGATTAGCTAGCATACCACATGCCTAAGGTCTGTGGAGTTGGGGTGCCTTCTGTGGGAGATGGGGGGGGATTTCCTGCTTGAACAGCGAGCAGAAAGGTTGGGGTAGGGCAGGGGAAAGCCAAGCAGACACTGCTGTGCCTGCAAGTCTCTGCTGAGTTTCAGCCAGGGAGAAGAGGGGAGGGGCCAGCCCTGCCATGGAACAGAGTGACCTGCCCAGCCCAGAGAGCATGCCAGGATGCTAGGGGTGTTTGGTTTATCTTAAACCAGCAAGGGGTTTGGGACAGATATTGCATAAACTGGTTTGAGCCAAATCAGTTAAGTCTGATACTGCATTCAACCAGGTTTACCTCAAACGGAGGTAACGTTTCAGCCACTTTCAAACTGATTTATGTGCACTCAACATCTGTTCTGTTACAGGTTTAAATTAGTTTCTGATCACTTACAACCAGTTTATGTGTAATGTCTGTCCCTACCCCAGATATCCAAATAATTAACAAGAGCAATCCATGTCTCTGTCTATTTGAGGTTAAACTGCTTCACCACTTTCTATATGAGACCATTCTGTAAAATAAACCAGTCCAGAATCTACTGCCTGCTTTTTGCACTCTGAGTTCTGCCAGAAAGTATCTGGATAAAATTCAGAATACTGGTTTTAACATATAAAGCTTTAAAGGGGCTATTTACTTGAGAAAACACCTCTCCTCCTCCAGCAATACTGACAAAACAGGGTAGGGAAGGTACTTCCCTCAGTTTAAATTAGCAGGGGCTGCTGGGAGGATATTGTATGTGAAGGTCCCTGAATTTAAATCTTGTACTGATCACATTAAAAGTGCGGTATATAACCTCTGCTTTCAAAACAAGATTTTAATACACTTATTATTGCATGGGCATTATACACATTAACATTATTTTAGAGGCCCAAACTACCACACAGACATATGATAAGAAGCATTTACTATCTAAAAAACAAGACAAATAAAGAACAAGCAAACAAAGTAATATGTTTTCAGTTTTATACATATAGAAACAAAGAACTAAGGGGAGGATTTTCAAATTTATTTAGGTGTGTAAAGATGCAGCTAGGTACCTATTGAATAAAAAAGTCAATTCCCACTGATTTATTTGTTGAATTTGTTCTGCATTTGCATGTGCAAGAAAGCTGAGTGGAATTTCACTTGTTAAGCTGAGGGTATGCATAGAATGTAAGGATGCAAATAGAAGTAGGCAGACTTTCTAAGGAATGCTACATCCTTGTATATGGCATGTGAAATTGTGAAGCAGAAGGAGCCAGGCACTAAAGGACAATTGTCTAAAATTAAAAACATCAGTAATATAAATACTGAAAACCTGTCTTAGAAACCAAAGCAAAGCAAGTGTGTATGGGAGCAAAGTAAATATGGACCAAGACAAAGCACAATGTGTTGGCTTATTTCTACTTCATTTTAGCCAATTTTATGTTAGTTTTATTTGCTTTGTTTTTTTTCCTTGCTGTCCTGCCCAATAAGATTCAGGGCATGTGGCAGGGCACTGTTTGTACCTGCCACTTTAAGGGCCTGGAGCTGGCAGCTGCCAGGTACCTGATTAGGGCAGCCATTTTGAATCAGGGGCTGCCCATATAAACAGGGCAGTTCTGCTGTGATGATGCCAGAGGGCTGCTGGTATCATCTGGAGGTAAGGGAGGAGCTATAGGGGATGGTAAGGAGGCTCCTGGTCCTGGGTATGACCTAAAACTGCATTCTGCCAGGCGTCTGTGGCCTGGTGGGGCTCTCAGTGGTGCGGGAGCCCCCAGGAAGTGCCAGGCCAGTTACCACCCCAGTGAAAAGTGGGTCGGGACGCCTTTACCCCAAGCCCCCACAACCAGCTGGGTTACCCCTATGTTGGAGGGTCGTGAAGGTGGACCCCATGCAGAAAGAGTAAGGCCATAGACTCAGGCCTGTCTGAACTTCCCCTGACTGGTCAATGCTGGGGCCAGGACTGGAAGGGTCGAAGGGCCGGGGGCCCACTGTGAGGAATGCCCAAGAGCTGCGCATCTGGGGTTCTGACTGGCCTGGAGGTGGGTCAGGGCTAATGAGACGAAGGTCCCAGTGGGGGGATCACACCCGAAGGGGAAGCAGTTCAGGGAGCTATGTTGCCTGGTATGAAGGCAGAAGGGACTGCCTGAGAAGAGGAATCCAGGTGGGGTTCGATAATAGGATTCTGGGGCCCAGTGTGGGGGCCGGTGATGATGAGAACTATAGATGCCATCTGCGAGGCTTGGGCTGTGGTGTAGGGGAGGAACAGAGCCACAGATAGCGCCCCCTGGCATCAGGGCAGGAAATGGTCAGCCTTCCACTTAATTACATCTTTATCTAATTAAGTAACAACAAGGCATGGCAGGTGAGAAGGCGGGCAGCTAGCCCAGAAACCAGTGGACGGGCCACTGGGAAGTCGGCCCCAAGAAGGTCTCCTGTTACAGGGCAGCTTACATTAAAAAGTCATAAAGACAAACACATAAAGCGATAATAAAATAAAACAAAACAGTTCTCCAAGGAATACCCCAAAGCTTAACCCCACCTGCTAAAATCCTGTTGATCCCATTTCTGAAAGAGGCCTGGCCTCAGGGTCTGGTTAGCTGGCATATGCTATGCACATTCACAGTATGCAGTGAGTGTGTGTATTAAAGACACATTCCAGTAATATTTTTCAAACACATATCAAGTTCACATAATTACCGTCATATTATTTGGTTGACTTAATGTCACAATAACTGTTCCTGGTGGCCCAGGGGGCCCTGTTAAACCAGTGTCCCCCTGCAAGAAGAAAGATGACAGAAACATAATTTATTAATTACTGGCAATCCAATACAGCCCCTGTAATCTGAACTTGTGAAATGACAATCAATTTTCTGAGGATGTAGTTAAAATGTAGTTTTCTCTTGTTATTTCTTCTCTCGAATTTGGACTTGGCTATAGAAATTTAAGACTTTTCATAATTTTTTTCTAAGAAATTTTCCCACATATTTATAATACCAAAGAACTTTTTTTTATACCACAGAACTATTTAAATTTGTGTCCCCTTCCCCCTCAACTTCTTGCTGCAGTAGGAAAAGCAGTGGCAGGGTAGGCAAGCATCAGGAAAGTCAAGTAGCCTGATCCCTGCCCTTTTCCCCATTGCACCTGGCCCCCTGCCACCTGTGCTGACCCCACTTGCCCTCCCACTACCTGCTTCCTCCATGCCTGTTTCCCATGGCTTCTGCCCTCCTCTCCATTTCCCTTCTGCAACCTGTTCCCCCTTGTACTTTTCCCCTGCCTCTTGCCACCCCTGCTGCCACTTATCCTCAGTTGTAGCTCCAGCTCTGGCCCCTACCTGGCCATTCAGCAGCGGTTGTGGTGGTGACTGCTCTAGGCCTGAACCCAGCCCTGACCCCGGTCCCAGGGTTGGTCCCTGAGCTGGAGCCTGGGCAGCAGCTGCTGCCACCACAACCACTTGTGCTTGGCTGGTCGGAAGCCCAAGCCACAATGTGCTCTATGCCTAGGGTGACCATGAATCCTGGTTTGCCAAAGACAGTCCTGGATTTCAAAGGCCAGTTAAAAATTAAATTGAGCATCCCAGAATCATAGGTGCATGGGGCGCAGTCCAGCGGGGAGATAGAACAGTAGTGTGAGCCAGGCAGCTCTGCCTCCCCACTGGACTGCACCCACACTCCTGTCTGTCAGCCTTTGCCACTGCCCGTAGCAGCGCCACTGACTTGGCAGGGGTGGGGGAGTGGGCAATGTCCCGGATTCCCTTTTGGTCACCCTACCTATGTCCCAGCTGGAGAAAGATCAGAGCTGGAGCGACAAATAACATTAAGTGGTGGGAAAGAGCAGGGGGTGGGGAATGGTGTGGGAGGGCAGAGGCATTGTGGGGAGAGTGGCAATGTGGGGACAGAGGCAGAGACAATGTGGGGGCAGTGGCAGCAGAGGACAGATGTGGAGAGCAGAGGCAACATGTGGCAGGTGGTGTATGGGGGGAAAGCATCTGGGCTGCTGGGGATGTGCCAAGGTGGGGACAGAGGCAGTGTAGGGAGACAGGCAGAGGGGGGCAGTGGCAGCAGAGGACAGATGTGGAGAGTAGAGGCAACATGTGGCTGGGTGGTGTATGGGGGAGGCGGGCAGCAGCTGGGCAGCCCTGCAGCCACCTGCCATCTCTCCTTGTTCTCAAATCCAAGATGAGGGGTTTCCTGCCATGTTGAATGGGGAAAACACTTTATCTTGGACTTGAGTAAATACTGTAGTATTTGCAATAGTTTGTTTAAAACAGTTATAATGTATTACCTTTAATCATGTATTAAAGAATGTTTTCTAGAGTAGCTGTAGCACTTTTGCCACTTAACTTCAACTTGGTAGTTACAAGGTAAACATTACAAGTTTATTTTCAAAACTGCAGCCAATATAATATAGGTAGATAGTTTTAATAAGACTGCTAAATAAAACCATAACCTCTCATATTTCCTTGACCTCAAAGTATGCTCATTAAGAGCCTTTGAGTGCATGAAAAATGCTAAATCTAAAATTTTCATCAGAACTTATAAAAACTCATCAGTCATTTTAAACTATTTTTAGCCAGTCAAGCGCCCTTGCATAGATGTTCAGGATAACAATCTAGCTGGAGTAGTATGGAGGAATCCAGATCGTTTGAGTTAATCAGCTTTATTCATAGTAATAGATATAAGACTACAAGGCAAAAATATTCCATTTTTGTAGCATAATCTTGAATACTTTCTTGGAAAACACTATAATTTTAGATAGCATCATGTGGATTGCTGTTGAAAAGCTGTGGGTTGAGAGCATCTGAGAGAAGTCTATGGCAGGTGCTACTAATATATGAATTATTTATGTCCTTGACTATCTGAGGATTAGCATTTCCAAATACTATTGGACTATGCTGCACTGTGTGCTCCTGTAATGTAAACCACACTGATGTTTTGTGTCGGTAAATATTAACTGCTGGTTTCACAAAGTAAAGCTTCCTCTTGGACAGTTTGCTTGATGCTATCGTTTTTCTCCCTCAGGATGTTTAAATTATAAGCTGCTATGTAAAAACAGTTTCTCCCTGACATATCCTCATCCCCATCCTCCAGTTAAAGCAGTCTGTAAAGATTTTCCTTTTACATATTTACTGCAAAATATTTTGCACCACAGTACTTACTTTTCAAGAACATTCTATCTTAGGACATAGAAGTAAGAAGATATGAGAAGCAAAACTATTTAATGTTTTGGGAATGTTAGGTAACTACCTTTTGTCCTTTAGTGCCTATGACTTTAGCCCCCATGAGACCCTGCAAAATATTTAAAAATGTTACTTATTCATTTAAAAAGCATCAACAAATAATGAATGTATGGCATTATATACAATTTAATAGAGTTTATTATATTACAAATTAGAAACTACCTTAGGTCCTGGAGGTCCCACTCTCCCGCGAATACCCTAGAGGAATAAAACCTAAAGTTTACAATTCCAAAATCCTTATTACCAATTTAAGGTCTTATTCTAAGCCAGCTGAAAATAGGATTTTTTTCCATTGACTTCAATAGGCTTTTAGATTCTGGATTTTCTGCCTTGCATCATATTTATTGATTTTTGATCTTCGCACCTGTAATTAATTGCGGGAGCAAATATCAGCAGAACTTCTAACTAGCTGATATGCAAGTGCAAACATATAGATGTCTAAGTTAATAGATGTAAATGGAAGTTAATATAGCATAACATCATATATGCAATTATTTTACTATGCAAAATTATGCCTACACAAAAAGGACTACTTTGAAATTCTAGAAATTATTAATTATAAAGATTAAAAGAAATAAAAAACCTTAGTCATCTGCACAAACTCTCTGAATTCTACACACACTACTTCTTAGGCTGAAATTTTCTTAAACTGTCAGAGGCATGAAGTGTCCATTTTCCTCCATACTGAAACTTCATTGGGATTATGGGAAAAACCCAGGATTAAACAGTAATAAAGAGTCTCATTTTATACTCACTGGAATTCCCTGAGGGCCCTGTGGTCCAAATGGCCCTTGTAATCCTTGTGGACCTGGATCACCCTTTGTATTAAACAAGAAATGATAATAAATGCCCTTGTATTTTAAAGAAAACAAGAATATTAAGAACCCCTTATTGTGATAAGCACAATGAGTTGAGTTATAGTGTAGCAATATTAATAATTAATGTATTCTTTG